CGGCACCCTACCCATTGAGCTACGCGGGTGCTGCCCTTGGGGTGATTTTTTACACAGCCATCACTGAAGCACTACTTAATAGCCAAGGACATAAAGGCTTAGGTGGTATCTTACCCAAAGCCATGCACCTGGCATACAGAGACACTGAGCTGTGAACTCAGTCTGTCTACACCAGAACTCATTCCTTTCACCACTGTGCTATACTGAGGCTTAGTCAGAACTTGTAGTGATGATTCTGATTTGAATATTTGCTGTTTCTCTCATGGCCACACTGTGAGTGGGAGAAAAGAACGGTCCTGGAAGCCCAGATGACTCTAGGGAGATGCCCGGCCCCCAGCAATAATTCTCATTCCATAAATAATCTCCGAGAGTGGCCTCTTCATTGGCAGGTCTCTTAGCCCAGCCTTTCAGTTCTTAGAAAAACAGGAACCCAGAGAGAGGGTGTCATCTGAGTGGCTTTTTTTTCTTCTGAAAAAAAAAAATCACTCTGGAGTCTAGAAGTCATCCCAACTCCATGCCACCCACCTCACCACAATTGGACAGCTCCCCTAGAGTAAAAAATCGCAGACAGAACTGAGAAAAATGTACTATTTAAGTATGTAAAGGCTTGATATAGAAATATAAAGTCAGCCCCCAGATTTCTCTTGATAAAGTGTCAGAGGAGATGAACAGTTTACACACAAGGAAAGGCAGGCAATAAATCCTCACGTGGACGTGCGCCCAGTCTCACTCACAATGAGAAGAATGAGAATTAAATAACTGTAAGGTGCAATTATGTGCCTAGTAAATAAGCAAAAATAAATTTTAAAAGATAATATCCTATGTTGTCGGTGCTGTGGGGATGGAGGAAGAGTAGAGTGGCCGGTCAGGTCGTCTGGGTCTTTGGAGGTTGCTGTGGCAACATAAAACAATCAGGATAAAGTGGCTCCAACCTTCTGACCTAGAAATTCTACTTTGGGAACTATACCCCAAGGGAGGAAAATGGTATGAAGGCATTTATAGCTTTGATTCGAAAATATAAAAAAATAGGGGGTTGGGTACAGTGGCTCACACCTGTAATCTCAGCGCTTTGGGAGGCTGAGGCAGGAGGATTATTTGAAGCCAGGAGTTTGAGACCAGCCTGAACAACATAGAGAGACCTCATCTCTATGAAAAAGTAGAAAAATTAGCCAGACAGCTACTCAGGAGGCTGAGGCAGAAGGATCGCTTAAGCCCAGGAATTCAAGGTTGAAGTAAGCCGTGATACCACCACCGTACTTTTTTTGAAAAAGGTCTCACTTTGTTATCTGTGCAAAGTGAGACCTTTTTCAAAAAAAGAAAATTGGTGGCTCAGCACCTGTAGCTTAGTGGTTAGCACATCAGCCACATACACTAGGGCAGGTGGGTTCGAACCCAGCCTGGGCCTGCTAAACAACACTGTGACAACTATAACCAAAAAAATGGCCAGGGCGTTGTGGCAGGTGCCTATAGTCCCAGCTACTCGGGAGGCTGAGGCAAGAGAATCGCTTAAGCCCAAGAGTTAAAGGTTGCTGTGAGCTGTGATGCCACAGCACTCTATTGAGGGTGACATAGTGAGACTCTGTCAGAAGGAAGGAAGGAAGGAAGAAAGTTAGTTGGAAATTACACAACAACCAGGAATAGCTGAACAAACAGCTGAACATCAGCATGTTTACACAATGGAATACTATGTAGTGGTTCAAAATGACCTGCAAGGAGCTTAAGGACTCTACTCCACAGAATTGTGTATATGAAATAATACTGAGAACCAGAACACAAACAGACACACTGATCACAGCCATGTGTTATCAAAGACCTGAAGAGAATCTGGTGAGGTATTTGAGCTTAATGCTCATCAGTTCCCATATTCTATAAAAATTGCACATCCATTCATAATTTGTAAAAGAAGGAAAAATCTCCTAGAGGAGCAGATGCTTCAAATCGCCCTGGTCGCTGGTTCCAGGGCCTGGGGAAGTTCATTCTCAGTTTTTCCTTCTGCCCTTAACATTTCTTATTGTTCAGTCCTCCAGGGAAGCTGCAAAGCATCTCTGTACCCCTCCCCCAACACTTTGTTTAATATAATATCCCTTCAGAGATAAAATGACAATTCCATTTCCCCATCCCTACTTCACAAGCCTGCCCTGGTTTCCTGGACTCAAGCATTCTGCTTCTTGTTAAGAATTTCAAACAGCTCCTCCGAAAGCAGACACTGGCCACGGCCCAACCTTGAAATGAAAAGCGAATCAGCTTCTGAAGGTTCCCCCTTCTCTCAGGGTTGCCATCCTTTTGGATGTCCTGACACGGGTAGGCAGAGAGAAGCTATCCACTCGGATTCCATTTTAACACCCATTCTGGCTCGGAAGACTATTAAAGGGAGAGCCAGCAGCCCTACACCTTGCTGCCTGTGTGTGTCAGCA